GAGATGCACAGAAGGCATTTGATAATGTGAATTGGCGATTCATGTTATTACTGTTGGAACAGATGGGTTTTCCTAGAAAATTTACTCAAGCAATAGAAGCTACATACTATAAGCAAACGGCAAAGGTAATGATAGAGGGAGAACTAACAGACTCTATCAATATAAGAAAAGGAACAAGACAAGGGTGCCCACTATCGCCTTTGTTGTTTGTGTTAACTTTGGAAGTGCTAAGCAGAAATATTAGAGAGGAAAAGAATATAAAAGGAATGAAAATCAAAAAGGAAGAATGTAAGCTGCAAGCATTTGCAGATGATCTGGTTTCCATCTTAGAAGACCCTCTAGAAACAGCACCAAAATTGATAGAAAAGATAGATACATATGGAAAGGTGGTTGGTTTGAAAATAAATAAAGATAAGACAAAGATCTTGACAAAGAATATGCTATTAAGACAAAAGGAAGAACTGGCAGACCTATTGAAAATTCAGGTCACGAATATGATCAAGTACATGGAGATATATTTGACACCAAGATGTAGTACATTAAAAGAGAATAATTATATCAAACTTAAACAGTAGATAGCGCCAGATCTGGTGAAATGGGAAAATTTACAACTGTCACTAATAGGGAGAATTTCAACAATCAAGATGAATATATGACCCAGAATTTTATATTCGTTTCAAACAATTCCAATTACGCTTGGAAAAGATTACTTTGAAGATTTAAATAAAATTCTGTTGAAATATATATGGCAAGGTAAGAAAGCAAGAATAAAGTTGAAACTTTTGCAAGATGCTAGAATTAGAGGACGATTTGGTTTGCCTAATTGGGAGTTGTATTATCAAGCTACAAATCTGATGTGGGTTAAGGAATGGATAACACTAAGAAATACTAAATTGTTGACATTAGAAGGACATGATTTGTTGTTGGGGTGGCATGCTTTTTTATGGTATAAAGGAACTAAAACACAGGGGTATTTTAGAAGACATTATATACAGGAGTCTCTGTGGTTAAACTGGGAGAAGATTAAAAGACAACGTTATTTGAAAATTCCAGTCTGGCTATCGACTATTGAAGCATTTTCTTATCCTATAATATACAAAAAGGAACAAACAGATATGGTAAAATATTGAATGAAAACTAGAGGAACAAGGTATAAAGATGAATTGGTTTTCATATGCGCAAATACATTCAAGGTATGATAAAGATTCTAAAATGGAAGATTTCTATGATAAATTGACTGATTTAGATAAGATTTTGACAGGTACTGATGAAAAGGTGATTAAAGAGTGTATGGATATTTATTAGAAATTAAATTAGAAGAAAAACAAGTTAAAGAAACTATGATTGCTTGGGGGAAGAATTTTGGATATGGGATTGATTTAGAGAAATGGAAAAAATTGTGGTCTCAAAATTATAAAATGACAATGTCAACAGCATATAAAGAAAATTTGTATAAGATGTTTTTCAGGTGGCATTTTCCCCCGACAAGAATGTTCAAGAATAAATCTGAAAAATTTTGGAAATGTCATCAGACACCTGGCTCATATTACCATATGTGGTGGACTAGTCCAAATCCACACATGGTTGGAAAAAATGACAAAAAAACATATAGACTTGAAACCAGAGATATTTTTATTGGTAATTTTACCTGAAATATATAGTAAAGACTTGAAATATCTGATTGTAAATGTATTAACAGCGGCTAGGATTGTATTTGCCAAAAACTGGAAAAATGAGAAAACACCATCACAGGAGGAAATCATTAAGAAAATATTGGAATGTGCTGAAATGAGTAGATTGGCATTTGAAATTAGAGAACAAGAGGATAAACAATTTTATAAAATTTGGGATCTATTCTATCAATGGTTAGACAATAAAATACAGTAATGAAATATGTAGACTTTTAGAAAATAATGAATATATAAAGATGTACTTCTTTCTTATTATAGCTACAAAATGATCTTAGGATAGATTTGGGATGATAATATGAACTGTTATAAAACAAACTAAGTAAATTATGATTATCTTGTAAAACCTGAATGAATAAAAAGTATAGTCAAATGATTGATTAATAATGATACTAAGGTATTTAATTTTTGATTGAAAATACGAGATTATATGCAATGTAATTGTAATTGAAGACTATAAAATGGAAGCAAAAACAATTGGTAAACCAACTGGCACACTGTATGTATACATATGGAAGATGGCTTGATGTTTTTATGTTTTGTTTGTTTATGTTTGTTTTTAAAAACCAATAAAAACTTTAAAAAATAAAATAAAATACCCCTGAGTTTTAGTTCCCTTATACCAGAGGAGGGCATGCCACCCTAACAGCACGTCATGTCCTTCTAAATTCAAAAGTCTAGTATTCCTTAGTGTTATCCCCTCCTTTACCCACATCAAACTCATCGCCTGGTAGTATAATTCCCAATTGGGCAAAGCAAATCCTCCTCTTATTCTTGCATCTTGTAACAATTTAACTTTTATTCTCGCTTTCTTCCCCTGCCAGATGTATTTTAGCACTATTTTGTTTAAATCTTCAAAAAATTCTTTCTCTAATCTTATTGGAATTGTCTGGAATAAGTATAAAATTCTAGGCAATACATTCATCTTAATTGTAAATATTCTCCCCATCAATGATAATTGTAATTGTTCCCATTTTATCAAGTCTGTCGCAATCTGTTGTTTGAGTTTAAGATAATTATCCTCCTTAAGTGTGCTACATTTTGATGTTATATATCCCTAAATACTTAACCTTATTTGTGACCTGGATACCCAAAACTTCCTCCAATTCTTTCTTTTCTCTTGCTAACATGTTCTTTGTTAAAAACTTTGTTTTATCTTTATTTATTTTCAGAACTGCTACTTTCCCATACTCTTCTATCTTTTCTATCTGTTTAGGTGCTGACTCCAATGGATCCTCTAATATGAATACCAGGTCATCTGCAAAAGCTTGTAATGTATACTCTTCTTTTTTAATGTTCATTCCTTTTATTTTTTTTTTCTTCTCTGATATTCCTATTTAGCACTTCCAGTGTTAACACAAACAGCAGAGGCAACAGTGGACAGCCTTGTCTAGATCCTTTTCTTATATCTATAAACTCTCCATTTAGCATAACCTTTAGTTTGTTTACAATATATTGTTTCTATGGCTTGAATTAATTTTTGACCAAAGCCCATTTGTTCCAATTGCAATAACATAAATTGCCAACTCACATTGTCAAAGGCTTTTTGTGCGTCTAAAAACATCAAAGCCATTTGCTTCTCAGGATGTGCCTTGTAGTATTCCAAAGTATCCAAAATAATTCTTACATTGTCTTTGAGTTGTCTCTTTGGCAGGAATCCATTTTGATCAATATGGATAAAGTTATTTAAGTATCTTTTTAGTCTTTCTGCCAAGATTGAAGCAAAAATTTTAGTCTGAATTTAATAGGGATATAGGTCTGTAATTTTTAACTTGCTGCAGGTCTGTATCCTCATTTGGTATAAGTGTAATGTATGCTTCTGTCCATGTTTGGGGTATTTTTTTCTTTAACATAATTTGGTTCATAACTTCTAATAAGTGAAGATTCAGTATTTCCTGAAAGGTCTTGTAAAATTCCACTGGTAAGCTATCTGGACCTGGTGCTTTTAAAACATTCTGGTTTTTTAAAGCTTCTGTTAATTCCATCATTGTTATATTCCCTTCTAGCATTGTTTCAATATCTTTAGGTATCTGACGTAAGTTCGCTTTCTGTAAATATTGCTTAACTTTTTCTTCTTGAATATTCTCTTGAAAATACAATTTGTCAGAGTAATCTTGTATATTTTTCTTCTTCTCCTCGTTTCCATAATATGTATGTCCTTCATTTATTAGTTGGCTAATCCTTCTTGATTCTCTCTCCTTTCTCAATTTATAGACTATCTGCCTGTTTTATTTGCATCTTCAAAGTAATTCCAGTCTCTTCTTAAAAACTTCCAGTGTTGGAGCATTTACAACTTCTGGAGGCTTCTGTTCCACTGATATTATCCAAGATGCCACACAATGATATCCAGTCAATGTGATGGAAAGATACCAGGGTTCAAGTCATATTTAGGGTTGATGAGTCCTTTACTGATCTATCAAGACACTTCTGGTTTAGCTGCTTTCCTTACAATGAAGATGTGACTTGTTTTAAAAGACTACGTCAAAGATGAAATAACTAGAAAATGCAATTAACGTTAGCAACAACAATAAGTGTATTTGAGAAACCTCTCTGCACTCTGCAAAAGAGCTTTCAAGAATCATGACCAATTTTATACCAGTGTGATTTTTATTTATATAGTCTTCCAATGATTCCATAGTTTGCTTCTCAAGATCCTGCAACCTACCCAGAAGAATATAAGCACATGAAGTGTGTGTTTAGGTGTGTGGGTGTGTCTCTCTTTACTTACTTGTTTTATTATATGTCATGCACTCTCCTTTATTTCATTTATATTCCACCTTCAGGAGCTCAAACTGGCCTACACACCATTCACTCTTCCCATTTTTCTGAACGACAACAACTTTGATATCTATGCTAAGAAACAGCAACAGGCTCAAAAATATCCACTGAACTTTTATAGCTGGGGATCATCTGGAATCTAGGTCTTTTAATCCGGTGTTTCTCAACCTCAATAACTTTTAAGATTTCTGCAGTTCAGCTCCTAGAATTGCCCAATCAGCCTGCTTAACTCTTTCTTTCGGCATTTTCCCTTCCTTTCTGCAACTTCTTCTTCTTCTTCTTTTTTTTAGTAAACCTGGAGGGTTATAAAGAGAAAGTCTCTTTATAGACTTTTCTTTTTTAAAAAAGTCAGCTTTGGGAAAGTGCCAGGACAAAAATGTAATTAGCAATGTTCTTAATGAACATAAAAAGGTCAGTTTACATTTTATGGACTTGGTGAAGAAGTCATAGACAGTTTCATCCATATAGCAGAAAAAGAGGGATAGGTAGAGGGGCAAAACCAAACAGTTCCTAACGTTTAGCAAATTTGTCTACCTGAACATCCAGAATTCTTTTTGCTTTGTGGTATAGTTGATGTGTTTTCGGGACCAGGTGTTGCCTCTGCTGTTCCCTAACCAAACATCAAAACCAGCATCAGCTAGCACAAAACCCAGGCTGTTGTATTCTAGGTTGGTCACCCAGTTACTGCCATCAGCAAGTAAGCCATGTTGGAGAAACACAGCTGGCTTTGGTTCTGAAAGGGAAGCATTTCACACATAGTTAGAAGCAGAACTATAGCATCCTCTCCTAAGGCAAGAAAGTTCATTCCACAGCCGTTTGTACAAATGCCTTTCTTTGAATGACAGCAGATTTGATGCATAAATACATTGATGCTAATAGAATCTCTTCAAAGAGGTTCTCAAGAGGAGAATTCATGCACGTGTGATTAGGTTCACATATTTATATGCCGTCCGACTCCCAGCAACTCTTCTGTCACAGCCCAAGTTTCCGAAAGCAAACACAGGTGAAGTCACTGAAACGTTCACGGCTTTATTCCACAAATAACCCTCTTTGTAGATAACAGACAGCTTGCAGCCAATTAGTCCAATAAATCAGAGTCTGTAATCTTCACACTAACTCCTTAGAACTTTTGTCTTTTGCAAAGGCAAAAGCCATTTGAAACCAGGCTTATATTCCCTAGAGGGAGGGGCCATTAATTACCATTCTTACTCCCGAGTCGCCTGTGCTGCTCTTCCATAAATCATCCTGCTCTCACCCACACCCAGCACAGGCTTCTCGGGAACGTCTACCTGATTGCTGCTGGCGAACCACAACAGCAACTCTGGGTGGTTTACAAATGATTTAAATTCACCGGTCCATGGACTTGACACCAGCATGCCAGAAACTGGGCTGCGCACACAAGCAAAGCCCCATTCACGGGATGCAGGCATGTGAAACCACGCCCCCTTCGCTCAGTAGAAAAACCTCTCTCCAAGGAACCGGTCCTTGGTGCCCAAAAGGTAGGAGGACTGCTAAGTTAAAACAAAGGTACCTTCTTGTGGCCTGACCATTCACAATCCGTCTAACAAACCACCTGATTTTGACCTGCCTCGTTCTGTCTGGTTGAAACTGAACAGAATTAGGTGTAATACTGGAAGTAGTGACTCTACCCCAGGGCTGTCAAACTGGGCCAGATGCATCACGTGCAGGCCATGCCCACCCCTGCGAGTTTGACACCCCTGCTCTACCCTGTATCAGTGGGGATGGAAAGATTCCCCTTGTTGCGATTCTGAAGCCTGTATGCGAAGTATTAAACATGTTGTGCAAGATTGACCATGATGTGCGTTCTCTGGTTTCTTAAAAGATTTCTCCAAAGCAACGCCTGGATAGCGAGATTGGACATCCAGTTATGAGAGGTCTCCCAAATTTCCATAGAAGTTTTATTTACCATTATGTGGACTGTGTATATTGTATACTTCTCTCATGCTGTCAGCATATTATTTTTATTATTTATTGACTTTATATTGCCGCCTATTTGCCCATGCCGATTCGAGGCAGCTTACAGAATGTAAAACCATATTTTAAAAAAGACCCCAATAAAAACTAACAAAAAGAATCAAATAAATTAATAAAGTACAAAAGAACAAAATCAGGAAAAATAAATAAAAAAATAAATAATGACTTCCCAATTCCCATCCCCCACCCCAACGACAGCAGATCACACGAGCCATTTGATCGGCTCCATCCTGTTCTGGGTTCCCCAGGCCCACTGGCAGAATCAGGTCTTCAGGGCCTTCCGGAAGAGTATTAGAAAGGGGGCCATTCTAATCTCTGGGGGAATTATGTTCCACAGAGAGGGAGCCACCACAGAGAAGGCCCTTCTTCTGGCTCCCACCAGGTGTATCTCCCTCAGGGATGGGACCCGCAGCATTTCATGCCTCCCCGCTCTGATGGGTCAGGTAGATGTAACCGGAAAAAGACGGTCCCTCAGATAACTGGGTTCCAAACCATGAAGGGCTTTAAAGGTGACAACCAGCACCTTGAATTGCACCCGGAAGCAAATCGGCAACCAAGCAGCTCCCGCAGGAGAGGTGAAACATGTACACACCAGGGTCTGCACAAAACCATGCAGGCCGCTACATTTTGCATCAACTGGAGCTTCTGGATGTTCTTCAAGGACAGCCTCATGTAGAGCACATTGCAATAATCAAGAGGGGAAGTGACTAGGGCATGAGTGACTGTGACTAGGGACCACTGGTCTAGGAAAGCATTGGGAATTTTGATCCCATGATCATATGGGGGTGCTTCAAAGGGACCAGTTCTGTGGAGGAAGGTTTTTTCCGTGGACCAGAGGGGTGTGTTTCCATGTGCTGCCTGAATCCTGCAGATAGGGCTTGTTTGCATGGCCCGGTTGCTGGCATGCCAGGGCCCAGTGCTGGTCCAGAGACCAGGGGGTTGGGGATCCCCACTCTAAGTTAGCCCATTTGAGGTATCTTGGTTCAAAAATTGTTGCCTTGTGATGCACTGTTTGGTCCAGTTAAGGGCCGTGACAACAAGATTTGTAAGAAGAGTTATATAATATACAGATAGTCTCTCCTTTTGTGTTTAGTCAGCTAGATAAATGAACAGGATTTTAATGGTTGCAGTGCTTGAATTTAACAGATGATCAAAATGCTGCCCATCATACTGTATCACAGCTTCCTTTTTGAAGAAGTTTTTATATGGTTTCTATCCAACATGTACTTGGTTAGCTCTGTGTCTAGAAGACACGGTTATAGCGTTCTGCATAGGGCTCTATTAGGCACAAAGATCAGCACTAAGTAGAATTCAGGCCATTCCATTTCAACAGTTCACAAGAATCTCTTGGGCTAATGCCCTTATTGAACTGAGCAGAGTAATTAAACAAATTAAAATATATTGGAAATAGGAAACAATCATTTTAACAAGGACAATATTTTTAAGTGATTTATATACTTTCATAATACTCTACTATCTGTTTACAAACACATACTCACCCTTGGTTTTCTGACTTATTTTCCCATAAGGAATTCTATTAATACTTAGGCAATATCCATCATCTGTCACCACCTCATATTCCTCACTGGGATATCCTCTGAATAAAATAATTTCACTCTAAAAGAGAAACAAATCAAAGATAGTGTTGTTCATTATTCAGTTATTCTAAAGTGCCTAGGCCAGCCTTCACCCATTTAATGTTCTCACAATGTTTTGGACCGCTATTCCTAGTATTGCAAACTTTTAGCAACGCTAGCTAGGAATTTTGAAGTTTGTTGGCTTAAAATATCTACAGAGGCTGAAAATGGCTGGCCTAGATATTTTATTTCTCTTATCTAAACACACATCATTTAAAAAGCAAATTCTATATATCAAAGGATGAAAAAACAGTCACAAAGGTTTTATGGTAAACATAAAAAAGTTCATTTAATATTACAGTTATTGCTTCACGACTTCCGGTGGCAGGACAGGGACGTCCAGAGGTGGAGAAGCCCAGCTGGGGCTTTCGAACACCTCTTCTCGCGTTTGGAGGGATCCCCAGTGGATACACGAAACCCGCTTCGTGTCAGAATAGAGGACCCCCGGGTTGCTGTTTGTGGGTAGGCAACTCCCCAGCAACGAAGGAAGAGCCTCAGAGACCAGCGCGATTGAACCAGCTGCCAGCTAATGGCGGCTCCAAAGTCCGGTCTGCCACTGATCTGACGAAGCAAAAAGTGACTGCCTGAAGGGTCTGAGCGGAAAAAGGCAGAAGGACTACAAAGCCGTGAGAGAGATCAGTCTGATTCTCCCTGTTTCATTGTGAGTAACAGTGGGGGAAGCTGGAGACAAGCAGCCAGAAAAGCAGTTTGAAAAGTGAAAGGGGAATAAAGTGGCTCGACACTTAGAGTGAAAGTGTGGATTGGAGCGTTGCCAAGGAGAGAAAAAGGCGGTGGGAATTTAAAAAGCTCAGGAGTGGATTGCCATCTCGGATCAGCGCGTGAGAAGGCTAGAAGACTAGGAGAGGATTTTAGCTGCGAAGGAGGGCAGAGCGAGAGGTAGAGAGCTAGATAACGAGGTACTGACTTTTATATGCAAGATCCTTTCCTTTTAGCATTATTGCCTACAAAACTGATTTTTAAAGTGATCGATCTGAGGCAGATGCCCAAAGTGACTGTAGATTGACAATTGCTGGCAGAAGGGAAGAAGAGGAGGGAAGAAGAAGAAGGAAGAGACAGACGGAAGCCTGGCCAAGACTGATCGCTGATTGCTGACAGCAATTAGTCAGCACTTCCTCCCCCTGCTTCCTTGGTGCGCCCAGGAGGAGAGACTATAAGACTAAAACGCCAGCCCCAACTCAGACTTGTTTTTCTATGGAACTAATCCTACAGATACGTGCTTTGTGATTCCCTAAAATTGAAAAGACCCCTTTCTTCCTGCATTCTTTCTCTCTCTCCCTTTCTCTTTGTTCTTTCCTTTTTTTCTATAATAGTTAAAAATACAAGTATAAAGGCAAACTGCTTGTTACAGTTATTAAGGTTTACAGATTGACTCTCTTGGATATATAAAAATTTTAAGGACTGTTAATAGGGTTGTCCCAGATAAAATGTAATCTTAAATATTAATATACACTATAGGACAAAAGTATATATAGAGTGAGATATTCTAGAGTTGGTTGTATGCTTTAAACAAGTATGATTTATTAGGGGTAAAATACAATTAACTCCGGTATTTGAATTTAATATAGAGAATAATATATAATACATAATACATAATATTTGTTTGCATTCTATTGTATAGCATCTATTGTATAGTATTGTATAGTATCTGATAACTCTCTATTGAATTGGAATTTAATTTGCCTGAATGACAGATTGGGCCGAAGAAAGAGACCTAAAATTATCTGGTGTGTAAGCCTAGCAAATAGATTTGTAACCACACTTAAAGGGCCATTATATCGAATGGTGATTTGGGATAATATTCTTAACATTGTCCAATTGCAAAAACAAATCTTAGCAGAGATGACTTCCACAACAACCACGGCCCTGAAAACAGGAAGGAAGAACAACCAGACCTTGATGACAACTCTGGCAACTGCCTCCCCAACAACGCAGAAAACTATAGAAGAGACCTTGGTATGAGAAAAACAACTGACTGTTACTAATGCCAACCTACAAGCGACATTATTATCCCTGCAAGAATCAATGCAAGAATCAATGTCTAGAATGCAGGAGATTATGATTAGGAATCATAATGAGACCAGAGCAGATATTAGCGAACTGAAAGAAGAAATGAGTAAATTAAAAGAGGAGATGAGAGCAGATATACAGAGAGTTGAAGATAGGGTTGGGACAATGCAATTGGCCATGGAAAGAACTGAATTAAAAATAAAAGAAATAGAGAAGAGGACGGAACAAACGGAGAGAAACCTAGAAAGGACTGAGGAAGATTTTAAAAATGTTAATAGAGAAATGGAAGATTCCTTGGTCCAACTTGAGATGGACAGAGCAGCTGCATACTTAAGGTTCCAAAACGTGGAGGAATCCAAAAATGAAGAATTAGAACAATTAATGGCAGGTTTGTTGGCTGAACTAGTTGAAAAAGAGAAAGATGACTTACTCAAGGAATTTGATGAAATCTATAGGGTGAACACCAGTTATGCAAGGCGTCACAATTGCCCAAGGGAGATCCATATCCGCTTTTCAAGAAGATGCATGAGAGACCTAATACATAGAAAGGCCAGAGATGAGAGAATATTATATAAGGGCAAAGAGATCATAATTCTCAAGCAGATTCCAAGAAAAGTGAGGGCCATAAGGCAAGAATATAAATTTTTAGCCAATTGCTTAAATAAAAATGAAATCTCATTTAAATGGCTAATCCCAGAAGGGATGCTAATATCGTGGAAGGGAAGAAAAATTAAAATAGACTCAATAGAACAAGCACAAAACTTCCTAGAACAGCTAACAACCACGGAGGATCAACTCACTAGGGAGAAAATCCAAAGGAATATGCAGGAAGATCGTAACCGCCACAGGAACAAAGAAGAAAGACCTGTCCAAATTCAAGGGAAAGACAACTTACAACGAGAAAGAGAAGAAACAACTCCATATCAATCACAAGAAGAGAGCCGTAGAGTTACGAGACAAAAAGCGAGGCAGACTTAAGTAAATGGACGAAGGAAGGAAAATTCTTTCCATTAATATAAACGGCCTAAATTCAAGAGCTAAAAGGAAAAGGATTCTAACCAAACTAATAAAACAAAATGTTGATATAATTTGCATACAAGAAACACACATTAGGAAAAGTGAGGAGAAATTCCTAGATTGTCCGAAACTGGGAAAATTATTTACAGCACCAGCTGATAAACACAAAAAGAAAGGTATTGCAATCTATGTGAGAGATGACTTAAAAGCGGAGTTAATCTGGGCGGACCCTGAAGGAAGAACTCTGGTGGTACAAATTTCGATTAATGGCATTACACTCTTACTGGTAGTAATCTATGCCCCAAATGATGATCAAGGTAAATTTTTTAAACATCTCCATCAAAAAATAACAGAATTTGAAAATGGTAATATTATTCTGATTGGCGATTTTAACTCTATTGCTGACTATCGGAAGGATCATAGTAATAGGAGTAAGAACAAAAAAGGAAATAGAGAATTCTCTAAGCCATGTAAGGATATGTTGAATGAAATGAATCTGGTAGATATCTGGAGAAAATTAAATCCCAAAAAAGAACAGTTTACTTATTATTCTAACCCACACAAAATTTGGACAAGAATAGATATGGCTTGGATAAACGGTGAATTATTTAATGAAATCAAAGATAGCGAAATCTTACCAAATGATTGGGCTGACCACAACCCAATTCAAATAACCTGGAGGGGTAGAAGAAAACCAAAGAAAAGATGGACTTTTAACACTCATTTAATAAATGAGTATAATAAACTGAAAGAAGAACTGAACTTCTTCTTAAAGGAAAATAATAATGATCTAACTTCGAAACAAAATATATGGGACACATTAAAGGCATTTATAAGAGGAATAACAATCTCTTACAATGCTATGAGAAATAAAAGAAAGTATGCCCAACAAAGTAACTTACAACAAGAAATTAAGGATTTAGAAACCCAATTACAAAAGAACCCCAAAAACCAAAGAATACAGAACCAGTTAATAACAACTAAACACAAACTAAATTTACTGGAACAAGAAAAATTGGAGATTAATCTGAAAATGACTAAACAAATTTACTTTGAGCATGCAAACAAGCCAGGGAGATGGTTAGCCCACAAACTTAAGAAAACGAAAGAAAAAAGATTGATACACCAATTAATGGATGAGGGGGGCAATATGCAAGAGGAGATAGAGAAGAAAAAAGAGATCACTTCTAATTACTTTGGGAAATTATACAAAAAAGAAGAAGTCTCTGAGGATAAAATAATGAAATACCTGGAGGAAGCGAATGACAAAGCAATTGGAGAGGAAGAGATAGAATTATTAAACCAAAATATAACATGGTCCGAACTGAAGTCAGCAATAGAGAAGCAAAGTAACAATAAAGCACCAGGACCAGACGGGATACCGGTAGAACTTTACAAAATTATCATAGAACAAATTGGACCACTGATGCTGGATGTATTTAATGAGGTACTGTTAGCAGCCAAGATGCCGGACTCGTGGAGGGGAGCCTTAATTTCGCTGATCCCGAAGGAGGACCTTGACCACAGACTTATTAATAATTATAGACCAATTTCGCTCCTGAATGCAGATTATAAATTATTCTCTTCTATAATAGCCAATAGATTAAAACAGGTTTTAAACACTTATATCCATGAAGATTAAAACGGATTTCTCCCATTTCGACAAATTAAGAATAATTTAAGAACAGTGATAGACATTTCAGAATACTATGAAGCTCACCCGGAAAAACAATTTGCATTTATGTTCTTGGATGCTGAAAAAGCATTCGACAATTTAAATTGGCATTTCTTAATTCAAAAAATATATAATATGAATCTTGGCACCAGATTTGAAAATGTCATCACTACAATTTACCACACTCAACAGGCAAACATTCTAATAAATGGGGAACAAACTGGCCCGATAAAAATAGAAAAAGGGGTAAGACAGGGTTGCCCTCTCTCCCCTCTGCTTTTCATATTCGCCCTAGA